AAGCAGCTGAACATTTTGAAAAGTATGCTAAGCTAGGCTAACCTAGGCTAACCCAGCCTAACACACTCAGCTCATGCTTGAAAAGAAAGTATATAAGTACAATTCTGAAGATGGTGAATTATTCTTCAGACTCTGACTACCTTGTCTTAGTGGTTTTCCGAAGGAAACAAAGAAACAGCAAAGTTTTCTTTGCCAAACTTTAAAAGTAACCACCGTTGTACCAGCCCAAACATGATGGATAGCAAAAATAGTGAAAATAGCATGTGTATCTGGTGAAATCTATTATTCAGTTCATCAGGGAGGAATTACAAAATTTGTCATAAATGTGTCATTTGCATTACAACATTAATGCTGACCATTTCCTAAATTTCATCTGGCAGTGTTGACCTGATGTCTCTGTTTTTAGCTCTGAGTGCAGCCTGCCTCCTGTGGCTGTAAACCAGGTTTAGCCATCAGGGGAGTTTAGCTGTAATTTGTCAGACTAATCTCCTCTGCTTGTTGTGGATGGCAATCCATCACCAAAGCCAACTGAGTCCACATGAAGCCAAGAGGAGAACAGTTTTCCCACATGGGAGACAAAAACCTGTTTGATACCAGCACCAATGACGACATTTTAGATGAGTGTGAAGGCCTGTCATTTGTCCATGGAAGGATGTCATTATACTGTCATCTCTGCACACACACTGTTAATATGATTGCCTGGAGCTACTTATACTGCAACGTGGTGATGCATTTTTGCTAGGTGTCTCTTAACTCTCATTTTACGTTTTCTCTTAGCATGTATTTATTGACATCATTGCAGACAGACGTATTAGATTTTTAGTTAACTTTTCCAGAAGTGCTAGTTGTTACTACATGTGTCAGCCCTTATACACTACTACATGTTAGGCCTCAGTACTGTAGGCGCTAACTGTAGAAAGCAGTCACATGTTAGATGTAAGGTAATTTTATATTTAAGATTTATGTTGAAAACCACATTTTTTTATTGTTTTTGCCAATGAACTTTTGCATTTCTAAAAATGCTTCTTTTGGATGTTAAAAACTTTATTCAAGACACTCAAATTAGACAAAATCTGTAACTGTTATTACTTTGAATGTATTGGTGCAAAAGTATCTTTTACCCCAGCCCAACAAGAGCAAAATATTAAACCTTGATAAGTGGAGAATGTGTATTTCTCTACTGTGGAGAGGAGCTGCTTTCTAACAGAACAGACATGCAGTAGTTGTGCTAAATAATAGCTGCGTTCAAGGAAACTAAACTTCCTGCAAAGACAAATGTTTCTGTCTTTATCTGGCTCTGGCAGTAACACAAGATGAAATAAACGCCTTCCAAAATGTGTGTAAATTAAATCTTTGTACTCTCTGATGCCCAACAGCTGCCAGTTTACTGCTCACTTGGTCAGTCAACCGTCCTGCTACAAAACCAAGCTTGTATCACTACACGTCTGGTGATGTAACTGTTTGCAGGATCAACCTGAAAAAAACTGCCAGATTTAATATCAGTTACTTTCTTCTGTTTTATTTCTGATTTTATTTTGACCCCTCAGATCCTGTTTTCTTTCACTCTGCCATATATATATTTTAGATACAGTTGTTTTTTCACACTTTATCATCAAATATCAATATCAACTAGTTATTTGTGGGGTTATTAATAAACAGTGGCGGACAGTATCATTACTAAAAGTACTAGTAGCTGTTTGTGAGATACAGTAGAGATGTATTAGTTTAAATAGGAATAATAGCATTGATGTAGAGTTTTAATAGTAGTTTAATAATTGTGTAATTAAAATTAGTAGTAGCAGCACTGGTGGTAGTAACAGTAAGAGAAGTAGTAAACCTACTAGTAGGAACTTCAGTCATAGTTGAAGCAATGGTAGTAGTACAGTTAGTAGCAAGTAAAACTAGTAGCATAGTACTTGTGGTGATGAAAGCACTAATATGTATTTAATAGTATTTACTGATAATGTTAGTATCTTTAAGTAATAGAACTGGTGTTTGTTGACAGTTATAGTACTGGGAGTAAAGTACAATAATAGCTGATTACTAGTCATACAAACTGAGCAGTTCCACTTAAAGGCTGGTGTTCTTGTTTCATTTTGAGGACCGATTGCAGACGACTTGTTTTTTTCACACTCTGGGTGTAGACTTCAATTGAAAGTTCCCCCAGATCCGTTTCTTTTTTCTCATTTTTGCCTTTGGTACAGTGTGAAATTTTCGTTTTCAATTAATTTAAGATAAACAAAGAGGAAAGAATAGTTGATTCCACTAAACTCTTGTGTGATGTTTTACAGTGAGGGAATAGGGAATGAGGATGCCTAAACGTGCCATAGTGGAAATAGGATTATTAATCATAGTAGCTATAGTAGTAGAAATCAATGTGATATTAGAACTAACAATAACAGTGGTAGCAGTACTAGTAGTTGGAGGAGTATTAGTACAAGTACACTCACTATCACTGGCAGGGGCACCTACCATTACATCCTTGTTGTCATCAGTCCTCTGTTTTGTCCTGTGTACACAGGTGAGGTGACCAACAGCTCATCTGTAGGAACGTTTTCTTCTGTACATTCCATCACCATAAACAAAATATTGCTGATATTTCCTCCATCAGCTTCCTGTTCCTGCAGGGATCTGTGTCCAGTCACCACTGTCAATTAGCCGGTTCTTTCTCCCATGGACTTCTACCTAATCTACTTTCTCTCTGGACTGATCACATTAGTAGAATGGGATGGGATGGGGAAGGGGGGGGGTCATTTGCTGACCGGGAGCAGATATGAAAGACCTGGGAAGGCCAGAGATGCTGTTCTCATGATGTAGGGGTAAATAAAATTTGTGACCATCATCAGGCACACAACCACAAAGATGAGTGATGTTTTCCCCCATAACACTTGTTCACATTCTGTATTCTTATTGTACTCCTGTACTGTTTTGTGATTTGAGTAAGCCAACGTGGGCCAGTGGTAAGTACAAAATGTAAAACCATATTATCCCATTACATTTATACTATATTATCTTATAAAGTAAAAAGTCCATTAATGGGGGAAGAGGACCCTTGTTTCTTTTCATTTTTTTCACAGTTAACAGTTTTCACCTCTCTACTCTACAGTAGCTCTGCAGTCTCTCTGTTCCTCTCTACATTGCTGTAAATCATGTCTATCATCTTTTCTCTCAGCAACATTGGCTGAATGTTCATACTGTTTTAGATGGATGGATGGATGAAAAGGCGGATGAGGTGCCAGCTGACGTCACAGCTAATTGACCGTGCCATTCCAGCAGAGAAAATCAGACTCATCATGGACACTGTGGGTGGATTCTGAAACACTTCACTCCTGTGTAGCATTCTTTTTTAAACGTCCAGCACAACCTGAAATAAAAAACAGTGTCAGTATCCTGCAGACACCCTCTGAAAATGTTGTATTTATATAAAATGGTAACCTGCAAGATTTGTGTGTTGCTGTTCAGTCAGTGGTGCTCAGCACTGTTGTGCACTTAGACAAATAGAAATAAAAGGCTGCTGTGGGATTTTGATAACATTGCTGAAGAATAAAGAATTAGTGTCATGACAGGACAATACACAGGATAATAAAGGAAATATTTATAGCTCAAAAATAAGTAATTTTGATATTTCTGGCTAGACAGTTTCATCAACGCTTCTATGAACTGGACTACTTGCCATTTGGTTGATTATTTGGTGTTTCAAATGTGATTTTAAAAGCAACATGTATCCTACCCACTTAAACGGTTCAGGTAGCACAGTTCAATAACATGAATTGTATTGTCAGAAAATCCATCCATTATCTATTCTGCTTATTCCTGAATAGGGTCACAGGGGGCTGACACTGGGTGAGACGTGGGGTTCATCCTGGACAGTTCACCAGTCTATTGCAAGGCTGACATGTAGATAAACAACCACACACACTCCAACAGACATTTTAGAGTCACCAATCAACCTAAGCTGCATCTCTTTGGACTGTGGGAAGAAGCCAATGTATCCAGAGAGAGAGGCACAGTGAGAACATGCAGACTCCACACAGAAAGGCCCCAGGTCGGGCCAGGCTCAAACCCAGAGGCTTCTTGCTGTTAGATGACAGCACCGCGCTGCTGTGTCGCCCTCCCAGAAAAGCCTACCTAAATAAACTGATGGATAGCACAATTTCATATAGTGCACTGCATTCTAGCTGAAACCTGGTGTTTCTGTGACAACTCATTTCTAGTGTTGACTGGGAAGATGGAAAGCTGATCGCTAATTGGTGGACTTAAAAACATCCACACTGGGGATTGATACATTTATACTGCTAAATTACACTCTCATGACTTTGTTTCAAGAAAACATTTTGACAACGTGCTAGTTAGAAGTGGAGGACCTTTCTGTAGAGCATTCTCAGAATGAATGCATTTCCCAAAGTAAACAATTGACCTGTTTATCCTGTTTTACCGGCTCTGGGTATAATATCAGCAAACAGTGGCCCATGCAGATGTCAGGTCATAATTTCAGGAAGAAAACAAAAGCTTTCATTTTGCAAAACCTTTTATAAGTTTATTTGCCACACCCCACTATAGGCACCCCAAGGGTCCCTAAAACCTTGGTATATACAAGTGGAGACTGTGGCATTGATAGTTATTTCATATTGTACTAGTGAGGATAAAGCTGTTGATCCATTTTTTGGCAGTTTACCCTTTTTCTTGTCATTCTTCTTCTGTCTCTTGCCACAAATCTGCAGAAAACACTGAGTTTAACTTTTCTCACATCTTTTCCATTCTGATTTCCTGTCTAGTTATCTCATATAAGTAAGTTATTTGTACAATAATTAGAAGGCAAAAAAACTAATTTCACCATAGGCTTGTTTGGTTCCGTGAGCAAGACCACTGACGGAAGCAGCGACCTACTGACGTCTCAGGCCACTGATCAAATCTGATGTCCCCCTCCTGCCCCATGAGAAACATCTAGGTGTATAAAACGGGAGCAGAGCTGAAGGCGAGCAGAAAGCCAGAAAGAGAGAGGCTGTTAGGAAGCATCGGATCAGCAGAGTGGACATACAAGATCAGGACCTTGGACAGCGGCAGCGGAAAGAGCCAAAAGCAGGCAACTTTCTTTAGAGCACATGTAAGAGTTCATGTTTCCACATAGGATATGTTTTAGGGTTTCTATGAGATGTGGTGCGTGCTCGGTGGTTTCCGTTTTTATTCCTGCACTTGTGTTATTGTTTGTTTGTTTGTTTGTTTGTTTTTGCGCGGTCCTGCCAGGTTTTAAATAGCTCTCTCCCAAAGATCTGATAGGTTATAGCAACTCCGCCGTCTAATACTGTCTGCAGTTTGCATAATTATGCATCGATTTTTATCTTTCCTTCTTCCCCGAGAGGCTTGGCAAAGTTCGGTATCCTAACTCTCACTCTTGTTTATGTTTCTTTACAGTTAGCAAGAAGTGACCGAGGAACAGCTGAATGGATTAAAAACTAAACTGCAAAATAGTAAATACTCTGGGAAAATGCACTGAGGGGATTTTGACATTTCTACAGTTAAATTTACTCTGATTACTTTGTTTTTGAAGGAAATTGTAACCATTTTGGCAGCAACGTTTTTCAGGAATAAGATGATCGTTTGAGTAGCTCGACATTTGTGACCGGTTTGTGATCTAAGCTTCTACGCGGTGTAGTAAAATATTGTCGCCAGAGCCGCGCCGTGCGCAATTACGCATGGGATTCGCATGATTTCTTTTCGCCTCTCTGAACAAAATCAACTTCAAACGGGAAGTCTGTCAAAAAAAATCTACGTACAAATGTTTTCTTTGTTTGTTTGCCTCTAAAGCAATTGAGCATTTATTTGTTTGCGACCTGACTGTTGAGCATATACTAAGATAATGTATGAAGCCTACGGGATAATAGGTAGAGGGTAGTGCAGGATTTGTTTTCCAGGGAGGGCGAATAATTCCTCGCCGTTTCCATCCTCAGGTGTAAAGCGATGTCACAACGGACCGGCCCACACCTTCTTCTCCTAATAGCCCTGTGCAGTGTGTTGTATTCCCGGGCTCTGAGCCTGCCATACGCATCCATACGGTAAGACGAAACCTGATTTTTTTCCCAACAGACTATTTAGAGAAATAACGAATAGTTATAGATTATGGATGATTTTGATCCGGCTTGACTTCGGGTTCCTGCTCAGGTTCATTCATTTGAACGTAAAACGAAAATTCTTGCCTTTTTTACATGTTGTCAGGAATAATCTTAGACAATGGCACCGTGCTCTGGCTGCGTTAGGTCACATGGCTGTGGCTCAGAATGAGCGCCGTTTCTATTATGTCTAAAATCGACTTATTAAAATGTATAATAAGACTGTGAGAAAGGTAGCTAATACTTCAATTGTGATCTTGTATCTTACTCGGGGGTGGGGTGGTGGTGGAGCCAACAGCTGACATTGGGGGAGAGGTGGGGTGCACCCTTGAACTGTATTGAATCCGTTAAAGGTATTCAGGTTTTAATGGGGCTATCCCGTGATGCTGTTTAGACCGACGAGACACGCAGACGGTCTGTTCACCAGCGGATACAGCAAACTCCTGGGGCAGCTGTCAGCGCGGAGATATCTGGAGTCTCTGATCGGAAAGCGGGTCAGGTATGTGACAAGGTTAAATATGGCTGCGGAACTGCAAGTCCAAACGTCGGGTTTAATGCATTTACTGGCTGATTCCTCAGAACAAAACTTTAAAATCGTAAAATCGATTAGAAAGTAGTAGAAAATAAGTGTAAAAATGTTCAACTTTCAGCATGTAACCATAAAATTAGAAATAAAGCTCAGTCCGCTGTAATGGTTTTTAAAGTGAAAATATCAGGGCTTTTGTGAGAGTCAGCTGTGTACAGAAAACACACACAAAGGGGAAATAAGCTATAAAATTCTTGTTATAACAGGCACAAGAAATTCAGTTGTATCTGTAAATTCCTTAGAATATATACAAAGTTTTTGATATTTGTTTTCAGAATGCCTTTAATTTAAGGTGAAATGTTTGGCAAAAAGTTAAAATACATCAATTTTTTATTATTTCATACACAGGGAGGTGAACTTTTTTCTCTTAATGTTTACTGTTTTACAGAAAGGGCCTATATGCCATTACTGCTGCATTATATATTTGTCACAGAGTCAGGAAGGACTCACCGTGAATCACAGTACATGAGCTGCACTGACTTTGCACTGAAACCTGCTGCACTCTGAACTGTGGCAACACTGTCAAATTCATTGTATCTTGGTTTCTGTCATGATCTGTCTTCTGTCCAGTGACGAGCTGATGGAGGAGCCAGTGAAGCGTCACTCAGACGCCATCTTCACAGACAATTACAGCCGCTTCCGCAAACAAATGGCCGTCAAGAAGTATCTGAACTCAGTTTTATCAGGAAAGAGGAGGTAGGAATCAGTCCTCCTTTCCTTCATCTGTTCATCTCTGTTTTGTACATTTCCTAAAACTCACTCTATAGATAAACAACATCATGACTCCTCAAAGGTTTCTCCACTTTAATATAAAAAGAAAAATTGCTCAGGTACCATTAGGTCTTATTCCTGGATGGCTTGAGATCAGTTTTTGTTATGAGATGTTAATAGGATTTTATACAGCTGACAATTTCTTTTCAGCTAGTATGTACTGTACAGTTCCTATCATGAAGATAAAAGAAAGCTAAAAAAACAACCACCTAAACTATGCTTCTCAGTTTTGGTTGCTGCTCGCTGACAATGTAATGATACCAACAGTTGGAGACCAGACTAAGCAAGAATTTTAGGTTTAAAGTTTAAGTTTCAATTCTAACATTATCAAAAAAAACAGCCTTTTAAACATATGATTTAGCAACTGCATAGCCTCCTCAGTTTTAAATGGATAAATAACAATGAGTGATGCAAAGTCAGCTGAGGGTAGCCTATGCTTTTTAAACATTATGGTTCAGAGGCAAATTTAATCATCTCCTTATCTTGCTAACCACAAAATATATTTAAAACAGCATTTGCTAAAGCACACAACAATAAATATTGACAAATTCTCCAACATTCATGTCTGCACCCTCCTTAACAGTTTATTTACACATATAACATTTACTGAAGATTAATACAATCACAAGTGCCAAAAAAAGACAATACATGCAAAAATCTCAGGTTCAAAACAACACAAAACTGAATTCGCTGATTACTGGACTGAGACTGCATAGTCACACAAGTTGAAGACCAAAGGCATCATGTTCAACCAAAGGCAAAATCCAGAAGAAAGAGGTGGATTTGCAGTGAGCTCAACCACAGCTGTAAAAAAAAACAGGAGGTCTGCACACTCAAATCAAAAAAGTATCTTCCTTTAAATTATGTGTATCAGCACAGGGGGAGGGAAAAGCAGATATTAAGGACTTAACCAACTCTGCTGGACATGTAGGCTTGTGAAACAGAAATTAAATTCATGTGCAAATAACAACAATAAAACAAAACCAAAGTTGTTGGTTCCCACTATAAACTTGCAGAATGTAAGAAATAATACATAGAAAGCAATATTGGCAGTGCTTTCACATTAGTTAGACCAAAAAAACATCACGGTTTTCCAAGTCATGCCTTTGAATATAAACTATTAATTGAAACACACTGTTATGGAATAAAACTAATAAAACAATTCAAATGCAGTGACTTTTTATTCTCCGTGCCCCTCCACATTCACGCATAGTTTTGAAGACCCTGGAACCAGTGACCCAGAGGAGTCCAGGGATGAACCCAACACCTTCCAAGAGACCTATGACGATATAAACTTAGATCACCTACTAAACAACTTTCAGCTGGTAGGTACAGATGCAGATACACACACACTTAAACACACATGTTACCGTGTATCCCTCACTGACATATTACATTTCCTACCCTTACCCTTAATCCATGAATGGATTACTGGTTACCAGTGGTCCCTGGAGTCAAGGGGCCCCTAGACCAGAGCCTCTGTATGAAGTGACATAGTGTCCACATATATAACTTGTGAAGTAAACAAACATACAGACATACTTCATATGGGTCATTGACATTTGAAGCAATCTTAAATGAATACATTTGTCAGGGAAGTACTGGATCTTAATGTTTCTAGATCAATAACTTTTCTCTGCTGTCGTTTTTTTTTGCCTGCAGCCACTCTGAGGAGGCGTCTGTGCTCAAGTGAATACCTCAAGTCATCCTCATGAAACTGCTCAACACGAAAAACAACACAATATTAATCCAAAGGACAACTGAGAGTCAGATCAAGCAATGATGTTGTGTTCTCCAGTATGGTTACCTATCTATCCATTCACATAGTACATGCCTACACTGTATATATGCAATATATATATATATACACTGAGCAACATGAACAATTTGAAGCCAGCAACTGGCTGCAGTAAATATAAACTGAAGTACCACATTTACTTTCTTTCTAAGGTCATTAATGTTCCATTGATTTTCAATGGAAGCACTTCTCTACTTTTTAAGGAACAACTGAATGAAATTTGTCCAATCATCCCAGTTAACCATTGGATGTCAGTAGAACTGTGTTTACTTTGAATAAAGTAACTTTCCAAATGACTTTGAGTGGATCATGTTTATCCAACTTTGAACGGACCATGTGTGCGATTGAGTTTAGATTTATTTTTACAAACCAGTAGTTTCAGTAACTTTTCTATTGATTTTCAGTGACCAACATTCATTTACTCTAAATGCCAGTGGGCTCATTTTGCCTAATGACTTCTTCATGGAACTCTCGCCCTGGGTGGTAGACAATAACTTCAGCACCACGGACGCCTTGCCAGCCATCCTCTTTTTTTTTTTACCTTTTCACTTTTTGCTACATTTTCTTGTTTCAAATCAGTTCTTATGAGGTTCATCTCGTAAATGACTGCTTCAGTTCAAAGCTTACTGACGTTCAAGGCAAGTTAAACCCACCCAGGGAGTGGAGAGGAAGCTGGTTGCAGCCAGATGTAAACATTAAATGTTGCCACTGCAGAATAACCTGTAATAAGGAAGCATTCACAACCAGAAACACAAATGAAGAGGTTAGTTAACACTGTAGTTTGAATGTCCCTGCATCTCATACCATCTCTCTGTGTATTTCTTCAGGTTGATGTTACATGAAAGACATTATTTTTGTCATATTTTTCTATACAGTTTAAGTGCTGGGAGAAAAACAGTATAACATACATTTGGTTTTAGAGACACTGGCTGCACACAAGAGCAACCACAACTTACTATGTAGTCAGTGAAATGCTTTCTGTATCCATGTTGTTATACACATAACTGTGTATAACAACATGGATATGTACCTTTTACTGATATAGTCCAATTGTAGACTTCAATGTAATATTAGACCTTGGATTCCTATTCAGTCATCCTTCACAGTTTTAATGATAATGATAATAGTGGAACTAGGTCCCACTCTATACTGATAATGGACTGTAGGTCAATTGTGTCATATCTAAAGGTCAGAAAGTAGCCATACTTTCAGTCATGTCATCATGCTTCATGCCATTAGGAGACTCTTCAGTCATTCAGCTGTGAGATCTGCTCTGTAATGGCTTCCACTGCAGGAGAAAAGACACGGGTGATAAAAGAAGTGCAAGTGGACTGTTCATTTCTGCTCTGTTCAGTAAAGGGTTATTTTCTATCATCTCTGAATTTTCTAACCTTACTGAAACCAACATGCCTAAAGGGAAACTTTAGGTTATGATCTGTGATGTTTTTGTAAATGCGGTAAATAACGGAAAACAGTACTCCCATTCCTCCAAATGACCATATGTAATACCTCACTCTCTGTGTTGTGACTCACTTTGTTTACAAGTATCAAAGTAGCAGCGGATATTTGACTCATAAATGTCATAAGCAATGCTCTGCGGGGCCGGGTCCACATCAGACCATCTTATAATTAGAAGCCAAGGTATCACTTTGTGTGGATGACAGGCTTAAAGAGCTTTGCTGAATAAGCAATCATTCATATCAATCAGAGGATGTGAAGGACATTCCTGGTTTCTCTATAATTTGAATCTGATTGCATTTTTTGTTTGTTTTGTTTTTGCAGGAATCTGATTGGCAATTATTTGAAACTCACAGGCTCATATAATAAAGTGATATAATATATAATCCTGAAGTAAAAACAATTAAAAGCAAGTTGTTACAGATGTAAATAAAGTTAGCACATTACACCTGTATGTTATTACAGTACCTTTACAGTAGCCTATACTGGGAAGCAGCATTTGGTGAGTTGTCCTAAAGAAAAACATGTCATCATGCATGAGTTTTTTTTGTTTCGTTTAGTTTTTTGCATGTGTTTATGCTTTTAATAATGTGTGGTTATCTTCTTTTGCTTACATTTTCATGCACATCAGCGTGTGTGTGTGTGCATGCATGAGTGTGTTCTTGTACTTGCTATATGGTGAGGACCAAAAAAATTATTTTTTGCTGTAGAGTGAGGACATTTTCAGAAAGTGAAGACATTTTGCCCAACCCTCACTTTGTGAAACACCTTTTTGAGGGTTAAGACTTGGTTTTAGGATTCAGGTTAGAATTAGATTTAGATTAAACTTAGGGTAAGGGTGAGGCATAGGCATTTAGTTTTGATGGTTAAGGTTAGTCTAAGGGGCTAGGGAATGTATTAGGTCAATGAGTGTCCTCATAGATAGAAGTACAAGTGTGCGTATGTGTGCGTGTCCATCCTCTAGAATATTTGTGATTGCCGCCTGCTTTGTGGCTTTACTCTGATCACTGCTGATCTTAATGGACCAGACAGACTGAAAATAGAGGGAGAGAGGGAGAGAGGGCTGCAGCCGGTCCATGCCGAGCACTAAGTGTGTGTGCTCTTGCTTATATATACTTGTGGGGACAGAGCACAGGGAGCACATAGCTTTTTGGGAACCAGAAGTCATTTGTGGGGACTGGAGGCTGGGTCCCACAACTAATTTGTTGAATTTTATGAAAATGATGGGGTGTAAATTGAGATCAAGTGTTGGCTTTAGTTGAGGGAAGGGTATGGATTAAGGTTAGGCAAGCAGCAGTTAAGGTTTGGGTAAATCTCGTGGAAATGATTACAAATCTGTACAGACCCTCTAAGTGACAACTGTAAAGATGTGTGTCTGCTTAAGCTGAGCTTTTTCTTTTAGGCTGAAAGACACTCAAACACCTCTGCCCAGTGAATGAAATAAAACCAGCTATACTTTCCTTTACATTATTAGTGAAAGGATTTTTTTTGCCTTTTGTAAATTAACATTTCAAAAAATGTTGACTGCAAGACTGAAAGACACAGGAGGGACCAGCTACAATGTTGTGTCCAAGTCACCATGATTCACCAGTCCTGTCTACTGTCTATTTATTAACACACACACGGAGATGTGGTAATCATTTCTAATGTCTTTTACAATTAGCAGCAGGTCTAATTGTGTTGGGGATGTGCCTCCGTGCTGCAGGCGACCAATAAATCTTCCAGAAAAATGATCCTGAGTTGCTAAAGGAGCAAAAGGCCACAGCACAGATTAATCAGCAGCCACCACCAGGTCTGGCATTTTACAAAATTGGGCGTCTAATTCCATCATCATGATATTTTTTTTTACATGGTAAGTGTACAGCTGCTGTTCTTCTTACTCTGATTTATCTTACACTTAATTTCTGATTTCTCTAACAGGCAAACTGACACAAAGCATGTTTAGCAGTCAAATACGCATGATACACTGAACGTCTCAACAACTAACAATACATCCCACCACCCAAATAACAAATAAAGAGAAAATAAATAGATACATAATAACGAAGTAAACAAAAGAACAGTTTACATTATGCTGTAAAAATAAAATATCAAAGTTGTGGCATAATGTGCAACTGTGCTCACCATTTTGACTTTTTAATTACACAATAAAAAAAGTGTTTTAACACCGGACTTGTCTTTTGTTTCCAGTACGACGCCCTGAGTAAAATGTTTCTGTTTCTGTCCCTTGCTCCCCAGATTTTTTTTTTTGTTCCACAGTATCTACATTTAAATATCAGGAGGAAACTATTTATTTATGCTAATACCAAATTCACCTACCTCTGCAGCAAAAAGGACATTAGGCTAATGCTAACTCATATAATTTAAAGGCTAAACATTATATAAAACTGTATTTTATGTTTAGCTCTAAATAGCACCCACACCCAGAATGATTCATTGTGCTACAACTACATACCGCAACCTCTGTGCTTCCTGAGAAGTGGCCGGGTTTTCCACGTCACAGGACATCCCACTGAACAGAAATGTGTCATCACAACAGCAATGCACACACAAGAGAGAGAGGGAGAGAGACAAATAGGTCATCCTGCAAATGTCAGAGTTAACCAGCTAATGTCAGTGATGCCATTCGCAGCTTAATAACTGATCTGAGCAAACATGTTGTCAGAGAAAATTAGCTATTTTGGAAAATTAGGTATTTTCCAAAAGCTGGAGTTGTTTTGTTTTAAACAGGTTTTTTCCCAGAGCTGCAGTCACATTCTCAGAGATGTAAAATGCAGATTATATTACTCAAAAGCTCCTGAGGTGCTCGAGGTATTATAAATCATGCTTGACAACTTTTAGGTTTAAATACCTCATCAAGGACTGAAGGCATGCTAATTGTAACATAATTATCACATTTCTGTGTATGAAGTTTCTTTTTGTCTCTAAAAATCTGCCTGTAAAAGGTCACAAAGTGGCAAGATGCACATTTACACAAAGAATGAACACAAATGTTGCACCAAACAGAGTATTGTTTCTGCAGGGTACAGCAAATTGAAATATTTTAATACCACAGTCAATTTAATACTTACTTTATAAGTATGAAAACCAGCCTGGATAATCTGCACTAAACCTATTTATTACTTCACATTTACATAGAGACAGGCGACAAATAGCCTGAATAAATGGTCTCTTCCAGGCACAGTATTTGACCAGTTATTTAAAGTGAAACTGTCTTGTTTCTGTGATTTGACCTATTTTAATATATTGGCTGTTGCAGTCTGTAGTTGTAAATTATAGTACATTTCATAAATACTCTGACAGAAAAGGCTGTAAGATATGAAACAAGCAAGCCATAGCAGGACAGAATCTGTCTCTGGTGAGTAGTTAATCCAGAGATGAGGAAACAATGCCTCCCTCTGGTGGAGAAAACCAAGTCATGACCAGATATGAAATGCTAGATCAGAGGGTTTTCAACTGTGACCCAGGAACCACCATTCTGTCTAACATGTAGGCCACTGTTATAGGGGTGGGTAGACTGAACAGGCACTATTCAATCCTGAAAGTCACCTTGGCTTTTCTAAATTGTGTGTGTGTGTATATATATATATATGTATATAAATTTGATTGACAAACAATAATACATGGAAATGTAAAAAAAAAAAGCCTCATGGAGTGAAACTACATTACTGAACACATGGTCAATAATGCTTCTTCAACACTGTGCATCAAATTCAAAGTTGAATCTAGTCATTTAAGTGGTGATAACCAAATATTTAGGGCTGGTATTTACTAACTTTGTGTTACTATTAAGAACACTTTGCTGTAATATATCTGAGAAGTAGTCGTCCTTTGTCAAAATGGCTGCAAATTAATAGTCTGTTGATCAACCATGCAACTGCTGAAGCCTAGAAAATAAGTAAATATTTGTCACCCTTTAAGAAAGAAGGGATAAAAACCTTGTCTTAACCTTGCTCTGACGTGAAGCCTCGAGGATAAATGAAAATCCACAAAAACAGAATAAATTTTATAAAGTATCTATTTACATAAAACAAATACAGTTAACATGAACATTTTAGGACCTCCTGAAGATCGACATTTATTTAAAACGAACTATGTAAAAGTGATAACATATTTACATCCATTTCATCTTAAAAACAATAAATTGGATCCATATTTTCCTTTTTTCTGGCACCAAATGTTTGTCGCTGACAGACAACAGTTTCATCCAAACCACACTTTCTGGTTGTTTGTTCCAGTAGTGCCTTAAAGAAGTGCTTCACTCAGTTGCTACAGATGGGCAGAGCAAGGGTCACATACAGTTTCATTGCCCATGCAGAGAAAGTACCTAACCAGTTAAAAACAAACAATCTGTTAAAAAGCTTTGCAAAACTGTCACAGGCGCCTGACATTCCTCTTGCTGCGAGCACTCCCTGGTATGATCGGTGTTGCCTTAGATGATTGTGGCTGAACCGTTCGGCAGGGGGTTGAGCCGTGGAAAGCCTCCTGGCAGCGGGTGCAGAAGTCGAAAAGACAGTTTTGACGAGTGCACACGGCCCTCTGAGCCTCAGGCGAATGCTTGGCTGGAAAGCCGCAATGCCTGCAGGAACGCAGAGACTCATGCTGCTTCAAACCGCTGGCAGCCTGGAGAGAAGAACAAAAGCAGGTGCACGTTTGTTAAAGCTGGTGTCTTAACAAAAAAGGTACATTAATGCATTTTCACTTGTGTGAAATAGGGTTCCCATGATTGAATGCAAGAGCAATGAGACACCCAAGCTCCAGTTAAGAGGTTTTACTGGGTGACACCCCTTATTTGCCTTCACACTAGAGATGAGTCAATTACTAAGAAACTCTCCAGCAACTTTTAAGGCAGCTGTTAAAATCATTTTTCAAGCAAAGAATGAAACTGATGAGCATTTTCTGCTGTGATCTGATGTTTTTAGGACCAAAGAATTAATCATAAGATCAAGTCTATAAAAATAATTGTTAGTAGCAGTACTACTGTACACAAACATGCACCTGCATATACTCGTTGAAGCGTGTACACCGGACATTGGGCGTGCTGCCCTTCTGTGAGGGAGAAGTCCGTCTGTTGACCCCGCAGCGTGGAGTTAACGAGGAAGAAGATGATGAAGACTTAGTGCTTGAGGAGGCCAGGGTCTGCATGCAGGACAGCACCACCCTGGACACAGCCACATCTCTCGTCAGACCACAACCCCTACGCCTCTGAGAGCTCATTGACTCCTAAAAAGGAAAAGAATGAAACGGTAACAAATCAGAACATGAGACACATGAAATAAGTTTCAGACACAATTTTAGTATTTCAATTTTTTTTTTGCCTGCACCTACACTTCCTTGTGTTGAATTCTTCACATCTAATTACAAGTGACGATAACAAAACAAAAAAACAACCCAAGATGTAAAGTGTTTAGTGCTGGACAAGTACACCACAAGAAGCACCAAAATGACCAGTCTTATACAAATCATCCTACGATTCATACACTTGTGTAGATTTGTGTGCATGTCCTCACCCTGAGTGCCTCCTCGGCTCTTTCACACCTTCTCAGAGCTGCAGAATCCTCAGAGATTATCTTCCTCCATGTCCTGCTCACTTTCTTGCAGCTGTGAGGTGAGAAAAGGTAAACACATGATGAATGCAGACAAAATATAGTATAAATAAAGGGAAAGTAGAATTTCTGACAAGTATCTATATTAATTTTCCCTCTAAACTAGAATAGGCCAGGGTTCAAAAAAAGTACCCATGACTGCACCTGATAAAGAATCAACTTTGTGTAAAAATAGCATGTATTTCTGGTGTAAGCTGTTTCTGCTTTCCTGTGCATTTCCTAAAGATACAAAATTACTTTTATTGTTCAGTTGTTGTTAGTTCTGTTCTCAGCAGATCCATAACACACAACTTTCCACCTTTAACACCTTTGAATATTGAACCAAAATCTCATGTTGGCCTTTTATCATCAATATGAACCCTTTCTTCACTTAGTGAAACATTTGTAGTTTACCTAATGAGGTCCATGTCTCCCAGCAGGGCTAGGATATTGGTCAGGATGCATCTCATGTTCCTAAAAAGCAGAGACGCAAACATGTCGATGTACTCGCAGCCCATGTGGCCTCCGATCACACGATCCAAAAGATGATCTTCCGCTACCTTTCTGATGACGCTCAAGTCATACCTGAGACACAGAAAAGCAATAATTGGATTATTTACTGAATGCAAGTCCAAACATACCCAGTACAAATGAAACAAGGTATCCTATATGAGCTTGGTTGTAGTGGTGCTGCACTGCTCTGAAAGTTACTCAGTGAATGAGGCCTTATCTCAGGTCTGCATCTGAGAGTATGGTTTCTGGTAGAATTTGGTGACAAAATGATACTATAATCCTACCTCTTATTCTTCTGATAGCTCTTGGCAAGCTCTTCGCACACAGCCTTCTGAAAATTCAGTATAGGCAGGTTGGAGTTACTGTGGTGCTCAGAGGGGGTGGATGACAATGGGTATGCTGCTGTTCTCTTTGCACAACCCACAGGAGTGGAAGCTGCCACCAAAGACACTGGACAGCTAGAGTCTGATATTCTTTGACATTTGAAAGGAGAATTATTTGGAGACATTGTCTTTTCTTGATTTACTGCAACAGGCATCAGGGCTGCTGTGGGTTTTTCATAGATGTGGTCATCCTCTTCATCTGCATAGTGACCATTATTCTGACTGTTCTGCAGAGACAAGTAACCACTGTCCTCAAACCCTTCATCCAGAGGCCTGTCATGCTCCCTGTTGGTGCTGTTTTCCTTATTGTGGACTGCTCGTGTGCTGTTGTTGAGAGAGAACACCAGTCTGGTCACTCCTGCAGGAAGACACTCAGGTTTGATAGGGGTGGGCTCCTTAACCGGGGAAGCTTTACGATGAGGCACCTTGAACTCTGTAGTAGCCACAACAGCATAGCTCGTCTCCATATTGTTGGCTCTGGTGGCTTCGTAGCGAGTGAAACATACGTTACACACTGTGCAGTATGATTTCTGGATCAAGGAGACAAAGCAAGACTTAGTTATATTTTTCTTAGATACTGAATACGACTAAAGCCTGGCACACAGCATGTCTTCTGTCATGCATGTTAACTTAGCTAACGAAACAACAAAGTTAGCTAATAAGTTACCTTGCATGAGGAAAGCCATAATGAATATACTTTGTCAGAATATCTTGAGATAACTTCTGACTGCTGTTTTAAAAGTATTCCGCCAAGTATTTGGCAAAACAAAATCCATTTTGGCGCGATGCAGATTTGGCGCAAAGGTAGCAGTGACGTGATGATACTTCGGTTTGCAGACATATGTGCTTAAAATAATGCATTGGTGTTTTCGAAACCAAATACCTCTTATGATAAGTCCTAAGGCTTATTTACTAGTGAATGTACGATGCCATAAACCTCTGCCACTAGCCAACATTTACACTTGTAAAGGGGGATGTTTGCTGTTTAATAAGAAGTGAACTTAGTTGGCTGACTTTTATGCTACCACACAACTCAACATATCAAAACTAAATACACGTTGAAATTAACTTAATTTGAGCGCATACTTAGCTGAACTATTCAGCAGAAATTAGCTTCTGCTTGTGTTGTTTTAACTCACCAAGAATATCGGCTAACAGCCTTACTAGCTAAACTTGTTTAAAAGAATAGCATAACCCTAACTCTTCCAAAGTAATTCCGGCGTTTCGTTGCCTGTAAAATATTAAATGAAGTCTCTTACGTTTGTTGTTCAAAGCAGTCTTGTCTCCGGCCTTTAAACCTCTGAAGTATTGTACAGTAGATATCCGCTCTACAACTGAAAATCCGCGTTATTGCTTCTTATTTGAAATCCGTGCCTAAATGGCGCAAACCAATCACGATGCAGGTGTTTTTTTTCCCTTTAAAGCATCAACCAATGGAAGTTGACATTTTAACATATCGGAGTAATTGCGTCACTACGTAGAGGACGTCGACCGGGGCTGTTTTTTCTTTTACCCTCCATAGTCGGTGGTTGTAGCTGATGTAAAGTCAGTGATGTAAACTAGGTTATATCTACAGCACTGAAGTGCCTGAACCTAGCAAATTTCACCCGAATGTAATATTAGCATACATTCTTATACAAGCCGTCAGAGTGCAGAAGTATTGCATGGTAAACATTAAAAAATCAAAATAATATTTATTTAGGTCAATATTGCTAAGGGAGTTCAGGGCAAATCTCCATTGCTTTTTTACATGTGAAATGCACTTAAGATAGCAAGTGGGTATTCATGATACAGTTTCAGATAGTCTATACTATTCACTTTCCATTAATGCACAGATGTGTCATGCAAGAAACACCACATTTTACATTTGACTGCTGTTTCAAGTTGCATCACGCTATTAGGCAGAAAGTAATCGTTTAATAATCTTGCCTTAATGGGTTCCAGTAACTGTACATAAGTGTATGGCAAACATAGAAGACTGGAAAAGCATTAGAGTCAGGGATCCTGCTATTTTAAAAAGAAGATCTACAAACTGGTCATTCACAGGACAGTTTAGGTCTCACACCACTGCCAGGAATGTGTGAAGTGGCTTTTTCGTTGAAACCGGTTCAGGGGGAAGCTGGGGGTTGTGGTACTCTAGTCTAGCTACAGTAGCCTACCTAATTTGTTTCATTACAAACTTTTCACTTAAATTACATGTGATGATAAAGTGGCACAAATCCTAATCTGAGTCATAATTTTATCAGAAAGCTCTTGGTATTTTAATGTTTAGCACACAACACAAAAAAGGTACAGGCAGAGACAGAGAATGTGTGAAGTGGTGTATGTAAGCCCTATGCTAATTGAATACTATTTACAAGTCCATACAGCCATTTTTATTATAACTAGAGAACAAGCAGGAAAAGCAGGCAACTGCCCCTGCAAGCCCTAGGTCTGTTATTATCCAACTATTCTGTGATTCCTGGCTCTTAACTGAGAGGACTTCTTGCTTTTCTTTGTCATTTATCATTAAATCACTAAATATTGTTGAATATTTAGACGTTTTTGATCAAACAAAACAAGACATTTGAAAATGTTATTTGCATCTCCGTACATTTTATCAACTAAACAATTAATTGAAAAAAAAACACATTAATCAACAATGAAACGGTTTTGCTGCAGCCCGAAAATAGCTATAGACATCAACTAAACAATTGATTGAAAAAAAAAACATATTAATCAATAATGAAACGGTTTGCTGCAGCCCGAAAATAGCTATAGATACTGTGGCAAAGGTGTGGTCTGCAATTTGTATTTGCAGTTTGCACGGGATACTCGGTGGTGAGAGTTTTTTTAGGGTTTTATACACACTGCACAGTTACACTTACGCATGATATTAAAGGCATATAAAGTGATTGTAATACAAAATGATGATCTGTAAACCGATCAAGTTAAATCTCCATAATATCATTTATGGTTTTATCTTCTTCGTGTGAACTGTTGCTGCAAAGTGGAGTAATCATGGCTGGGAATAATCTTTATCCTGCTGTAATTTTGACTGCAGAAGAAGACGTCTTATCCACTGCGCAGGCGTGCCACATTCAATATGTCTGCACTGTTCGACAAGGTGGATATAGAGCAATATTTTATAACAACTGTTAGCAATCAATTGTTAGGTAGTCTTTAGATATGTTGTAGCGGAACCGCGTTTTGTTATATACACACTGATGTTACTGATAATAGGCAAAACCTAACTGAGGGACTGATCGTTTGTTATTTGACTTCACGATCACATCTAATATTAGCTGGTATTCGGCATCCGCAGAAATAAGGTACATCACGCCTTGTGATTGTGTAAACCTGTTAGCAAAATTTGAAATTTAATTAATCTAAAGTACTATTGACGTATTACATGCCCGCCGAATTTAAGAATACCCTACTTGGACACAGGAAACCTTTAATATTGCTACTGTAATGAGCATATTTATTTGTTATAATTATAATTATATAAAATTAAAACATTCTTGAATGAAGTTTGGCAGAATGTTCCTTCCGGACTAGAGAAGACCATGTGTTAAAGCTAGTTAATGTTGAAAATTGTGTGCTCTGCCACAGAGTCTCTGCCAATTAAATCTATGCAAACAATGGCTTATAGACGAGCTACAAACATTCTTTCAAGAGGAAAGGAGTGTGTCTGCAGTCTGTGGATATCTCGTTTCCAAAAATCACCAAATGTCACAATCCAAAGCATTCGATTTCATACTTACAGTGATAGAAATACAAGAACTCTTCATACTAGTACACCATTTATGGTGGCCAAGTTACAGTCAGTGGATGAGCTGTTTGCCAGGAGGTCTCTGCAGGAATACCTGAAGAAGATGGAGACAGAGTACAGTGAATGTTTGAGAGAAGACAACAGCAGTGCGACAGAGGAGCAGTGCAGTGAGGACAAGCTGAGGACCAAGAGGACCAAAGTGTCTCTGCTGGCTCCTCTCATACACACCATCAGAGAGCTGGAAAAAAAACAAAAGGAGATTGCTGAGACTGAGATGCTCCTGAAAGGTAAGACTGCTCTGCTGCTGCCCTAAGGACAAGAAATCATTTAATGAATTTATTTGATGGAATATCTGTAATTCTTAAACCACGGTTGGGTTGATTTTGTAACAATAGACAGTTTTTATCAAGCCAACAGGTTTTGTATAAAAGTTTGATTGGAAGCACAAATTTAAAAAATATCTACACATTAACTTGAGCTTGTGTTTCAACCACCAAGGTCTGCCACCACTGACCACCAAGAGGACGAATTACAATTTTTGTTTGGAAAAAAATTACTGAAACAATTATTTGATTATGAAAAGATTTTACAATTTTTTCTGTCAGTCAACTCATCAGTTAATCTAATTGTTTCACCTATAACACATACTAGTTCCCTGTATGTTTTTGTCTTTCCTCAAAGATGAAGACCCAGCCTTGCGTGAACTGGCGGAGCTGGAGAGAGAAGGTTGTTTGCAAGATATTCAACATCTCAGACAAAAGGTAGAACTTCATCTTGTGTTACTGTGACAAGCTGCAGTAGTGAAAATTAACAACGGGACTGAACGTTTTGTGATTGCAAATTTTCACCAGACCTAATGTTGAACTATAATCAAAGATGTTTCCATTTGCTGTTTTTTTGTTCCTGTCAAATCAACCTGTTTTAACAATCAGATCCTGGATCTGTTGATCCCTGAGGAGGAAGCAGATCTGAGCAACCTCGTCCTGGAGGTCACAGCCGGCATTGGCGGTCAGGAGGCAATGCTCTTCACTGCTGAGGTCTCACCGTACTTACTTATATTTATTATTTTAAACCAGCCTTGTTGAAATAATGGAATTGTTTAAATCACACTTGAACAAGAAAATAGCATATTTATTTAGAGAGGGAACAATAAATACATTTTCTAAAAAGTCAGACAAATTTTGGGACCCACTGCAACAAACCAGAAAGGAATATGTTTATGTCTTGGGAATGGGGCATTCCCAAGACATAAACTTATGTACTTATAGAAACACCATATGATTTTACTTCAGGACAACAATAGGAATCTGAAAACGAATAAAGAGGCACTGAAAAAGTGGCAAGGAGGGAAGGCTCTTAATGAAGGAAAAAAAGTTAAATTTTCTGTATCGACCTAAAGATTAATGGCATCTCCTCTTTTCTGAAGGTGTTTGACATGTACCAGGGCTTCGCTCAGCACCATGGCTGGTCCTTCGACATCCTGGAGCACATGACCAGCGAGCTAGGTCAGTGGACATAGTTATGATTATAGCCCGATTAAAGAGTCAGTTCTCCCAAAGCAAACAAAACAAACATTTCGTCTTTTCCTTCCATTGTGTTGAGGTGGAGAGATTTTTTGGTTCAGGGTCACCTGGTCATGAGTACACATTAGTCCGGTATTTCTGTTTTTTTTCACATGCCAGAAACATCACAAGGTAAATCAGATGTCAAGAGGTTTCTATATCAGAAGGATGGTGAGTGGTTGTGGACAAACATATATTTTTGTGGAGCATAATTGAAGCTATTTCAAATAGTGACTCAAATAGGCACATGTCTAATGGTTCATTTGATTTAGTTAGACTATAAAACAAAAGAAGACAATGAAAAATGCCCATGACAATTTCTATCAAATATCTTGTCTTATCTAGTCAACAGCTCAGATAATCAGTGTAGAGGAATGTTCAGACAAGGACAAGCAGTAGATCCTCACTTTTTAGAAGCTGGGAACATCTAATGTTAGTTACCGGTTCATTTTCTGCCAGTCGACAAATCAAAGAAGGAATGGGATGGGAGGATCATTGATAGATAGATATGTTAATAAAAAGCACATACCCTTATTGCAATCACAAACCATTATTGCAATTGCTGACCACAGACACAGGGGGGAGTCCTTGCAATGCCACAGACTTGGCAGAGGGGTCGCTGAGGCATAGTTTCAAGCTGAAGTATTCTTAGAAGAAAGATTAAATGCTTTCATCAAAATAATGTTTTAAAACACAAAACTGAACTAAAGAAATGATTAAACTTAAGAACAGTCCTCTTTTTGACATGAACATTTGAAATAACTACGGTTCATTAGCACCAATTTGCTGTGAGACTGTGAAGAGAATCTGCTCGTTGAAGCTAAAATTGCCTTTATTACGTTACAGTGTAATTGATAATAAAAACAGTCTAGTATTGGTACTGATTGCTCACATACAACCAGGTGGACTACGTCATGCCTCGGCCAGCATCAGCGGCCCAGAAAGCTACAAAAGGATGAAGTTCGAGTCTGGAGTCCATCGAGTGCAGAGGGTCCCCAAGACTGAAAAACAGGGCCGAATACACACTAGCACCATCACTGTGGTTGTACTGCCCCAACCCACTGAGGTATAATTTCACAAAAGGATGACACAAAAACAGACCGCATGTTCATATGTGTTGGTTTTGTTCCAACCATGACGTAGTAAAGTTTTATCACATTTGTTCTAATTTTAATGCCTCTTTTATCTGTATCTCATTGGTAACACAAGTTCATGATGCAGGTAGGATGTTAAGAGTAGTTTTGTTCTTCTGCTCAACTGCTGTTAATTTGGATGTAAATAACTCACAACTGTTGGTGTGTTTTTGTCAGATTTCTTTCATGATAAACCCAAAGGACCTGAGAATAGAAACTACGAGGGCCAGTGGAGCTGGAGGCCAACATGTCAACACAACAGACAGTGCAGTCCGAATAGTCCATCTGCCTACAGGTGAAAACGCGTTTAGCTTATTAAACACTGGAACATAAACAGATGGGTTGCAGGGCCACCCACAAATGGAAAAAATGTTTTGTTGGAATTATTTTTACATTACACTAGTGTTGCAGTGGTATGAGATTTTCACTGTATGATAATGCTCAGAAAATATCACAGTTTCATGGTATTAATTACAGTATTACACAATTACTATTGTATTAGAAGAAGCTCATTTGCTTGCTTGATGTCACCCATATCTGAGTCATTTCACTCTTAGATGTAAAACATGTCAGAGGTATTGTTATGTTATGAGCTGTAAGAAAAATGTACTTTTTTTTCCCAAAAAAGCTCTACACAACAACAGAAATCTCTCACTACCAAAAGAAAACTGTATTCATGTATGACCTTTCTCACTCAGATTAATTCTGTTTATTTGGATGGCTACAAAGGATTAATACTTCAGTGTGTGTGTGTGTGTGTGTGTGTGTGTGTGTGTGTGTGTGTGTTTGTGTTTGTGTTTGCTAGGCGTGGTTGCAGAGTGCCAGCAGGAAAGATCCCAGTTGATGAACAGGGAGAAAGCTATGAGGACTCTCAGAGCAAAACTGTACAGCATGAAGCAGGAGGAGGAGACCAGCAAACGCTACAACCAACGTAAAATACAGGTGGGGCACAGTGAGATATATGCATGCTGTGCATGCATACATGCAAACTACAGGTGGGGACATTCAAATATAATATAAATATCAGGTGTGACAAGTGTTTATTTTCCAAAATATTGATAATTAATTTTTGAAAGATTTTTGATGTTGAATTTTATTAGTTACTGTCAAAGTAAATGTAATTAAACTGACAATTCAATGTTTACATTATAAAATGCTTCACTTATTTTAATGTCTTCTAAAAAGAAGTGAAAATAAGAAATGATACAAAATAAACATACACATTTAAATAATACATTAATTTGTGATCAGTACTTATCCATTTTTCTTCTGCCCTTCTTCTTTCTCCTCTTCCTCCAGATTGGCACTAAAGCCAGATCAGAGAAGATTCGAACCTACAACTTCGCCCAGGACCGTATAACAGACCACCGGATTGGCATGACGGTGCATGACGTCAGGCACTTTCTGCTGGGAGAGGATCTGCTGGATCAGGTGAACTCCGCTCTGCAGGAGTTCTCACATCAGGAGATGCTCATGGAGCTGCTGGGAGAGAACAGCCAGGAGGATTCCTAAGTTTGGCTCTGAGAAACTTCTTGCTCCATATAGTATTTCCCAGAACATTAACACTGGAGTAGACAGCAGGTCACCTCTGCTCTGCTATACTCACTGTACTGACTGTTTTTGTCTCCTTTTCCATCTCCCATTGCCGGTGATGATATCAAGAGTCCTCTTTGGCCTGTGTGTCCCAAATCCTTTGTCTTCTTCGCTTTAACGTGCTGTTGTATTTCTGGATCATTGTGAAGATATTATTCTATACACAGTTATTTTCTACTGCTCCTGATTGTCTTTAGTTAATTGCTGCTGTGTTGTTTTGCTACCTTTTAATTCAAGAACTACATCACCCATGATGCTCAGAGCTCCAAGGTTGATTAATCGAGCGTGGACTCATTACACTCGCCCACTCTCACTATCCGATTTTCTTCCAGCAACCGCATCCTGTGTGCCAGCTCCAGCGCAACTGTTAGCTTGCTAAAACAGGGAGTAGCAAGTCCTTTTTACTGAGGATATTTTGTTTTAATCGCCAAACATTATAACATTCTGCTGAATAGTTTTTTTTGGGAAAAATGAATTTGCTATTTTCCCGCACTAACGCACCCCCAAGAAGACGAAACCCCCTCTGCAAAGTCGTCTTTCTTAGATCGACCTCAGTAGCTGAACGGTTTTAGCTAATGGTTTGACAAGCGATAGGCTCAGCTGTCCGCCGCTCCGTGATCGGGGTTTTGGACAAAGCCAGTCAGATGATGGACGATAAAAATACCGGACCTCAGACGTTTTTACAATGAGTTGTGAAATTATATTATCAAGGTGATAATCTGTCCTGAAATTGCCAGGAGTAAGGTATAATTTTGGAGGGTGAGAGTTTTTATCTCGCACCGAGGGAAGGTATAAGGAGCTGTGCGGAGGTGGGAGACCCGCTGAGAAGAAGATACGTAGGGGGCAGAAATCCAGATGCCAGTGATGGCAAACGAGCCGATCATCCTAAACGTCTATGATATGGTAAGTAGAAAAGTAAAATGAATGTTTAAGAACTTATTTGCTACTTTTTCTCAAGGACACTGGTTCAATCGTGTTTTGACTTGGCCGTATGCAAGGACGCAACACCATACTGCATTATAAAAGGTGGTTTTAATGTTGCGTTGCTTTTGAGCAGCGGTTGAAAGATGATTGTTAAATACTGAAGCTCTTTTAGGAACAATCACATTTCTCTCTTCAATTCGGCATACATCCAGAACATCAGACTCCGCTAACTTGTTACAATTTCTCCTTTACAAACTGGCTCTTCTGGTTATCCGCAGCTATTTTCCAGTAAAATATACAGTGGAACACGGCAGCAAGAGACAGAATCAACTGCTTCGCATTTTCTTGACAAAGAAAGGGTTTTCATTGTTCAGATAAATTTATAAACGAGACTTTTTGTTGAGTTGCTCAAAAAAAACAAACACCCAAGTTAACACGTGATGTTGTTTTGTGCTTTAAATAGTGGGTTTCCAAATCAGGAGTGGAGTTACAGTGGTCTTCATTGGACTTTCTAACATCCTGTTGTCAAAACTGTGACCCAGGTGGTGGTGGTGACCTAAGGAGTCACCCAGCTGGTACTTCTACAGGAGAGGAAATATGCCTTAGTGTTACGGAATGAGATGGAGGTTGGAACTGAGTCACTATATGTTGTCACCTCACATGGATGAGTCAGTTGGGGGGGCTGGAAACTGACTGATCTCTTAATGAATCATTGATTGCTATGGATTCACTGTAGCAGACGGATTGCGCTGATAAATCACCCAGGGGCAGTGTTTTTGGAATAATGTGCATTATCAGTTTGCTAGAACACCACTCAAGGTGATGTCTGGGTTTTATCTGACCAGCTACAATCAGAAGATAGGGTTTATTATGACATAAGATAAAGAAGAGAAGCTAGAAATGAGACCCAGGAGTGTTTGTATAATTTCTAGGAAAAGTGACTTAAACAATTATCAAATTTTTTTTTGTTCTGTTGAATGACTAATATGTTAATCAAATAGCTCTGCTCCAGTAAATGGTAGTATTAGCGCAATGGACTATGGTACATGCAATGAGTTACTATATATGGAGACTTGAGGCGCTCCAGTGCACCAACACAGTGGTACTAAACTACTTAGTAAACTGAACAGAGAGGCTGTGCACTGCTGTTTGATGGTTTGACCACAGCATTATTTGTTGGCTTACTGATCAGCTGAATGGCTGGTGAGATGACTGTTAAGAGGAAGTCAGGAAATAGAGCTCAGATAATGGCAGAGGTCAAGATAGTGTCGACATGCTGAAGGAACCCCCGCTGCCATCTCAGATCAGATGTTCACACCATGTAATGAACAGTAACAGCGAGTGCTAAGTGGCATGCAGTCTGCTTGTGGGCATGCCAGCGTGTGACTCCGCCTGCCCTGTGGCCTTTGAGTAAGACACTGAGCATTTACTCAGAAAGACTGATGAAAAGACCCCTTTCCATTTCATCCCCCCCCCCCTTCTGTGATTCCCATTGAGCCAGGTCCTCTCCGCTGTCCTGCTCCCGTCTCTGCTAAGTGGATTTCCCGGCCAGCCTTGAGTGCTTTACTACACTGCTCTAATGACACAGCATTATCCGTACGCCACCTGTCTGCTGCCATCCCAATCTCTGTGAATGCAAGTGTGAGAGAATGTGTAGGGATATTAGGTTAAACAGCGTCAGGTGGCCAACACTCCACAGATCAGATTGTGTTGTGCTGCGTCAGCCGCAGAGTTTCATGATTCTTCTTCTATTGTAGTGTATACCAGCATTACTGTATAAAAAATAAAGGCTGTATACTGTGGTCAAACACTTTGTCCAAGTCACTCACCCCTATAAAAAGGTCATGTTATGGGTGGAGTCCGAATGAATTTTCTGACATTTTATGGACAAAACTATTGATTGCTCTATCAAGGAAGTAATCAGCAGATTAACCAGTAATGAAATGATAATTTCCTTCCCTGAATTTGTGTTTTTCATGTTTGTGGGGTTTCAAAGCAGCAATGCACATGCTACAACCAAAGACATTTCATATCTCACTGCTAGGTCTGTTTGATACCATCAGACATGATAATCCTTTTCATTTTAAAACACTTTAAAACATTGTCAGAACTACATAATGTCTCTTGCAGTAGCTCTTTGTGGAACGTATCAACCTTATGTGTGTCAGGAAACGGACAGCCTACTCTGCAGTGTGAGACATTGCACAAGAAAACCATCTTGAGTCAGCAGTCTTGTGTTGTCTCTGCATTTATTTGTAATAATTAAATCAAATGAGGGATAAACCCATATCTGAATTAGTCATTGCCCTGTAAAATGTACGTCTTGAACACCGTGTTCTGAAGACCGCCAGCTCTGAGCCACAGATTGTGTGCAGCATGTATGTACCGCATTTGCATAGCAATGGGCCTGAAGTATGAGAATAGTTTTAAAATAGCATACTGTGGTTATCAGGCTGCTAAATGTGTTTTGCATTGTAAATCGTGTCTGAATGTCAAAGCAGACAGATCATAATACCCACTCCACCTGATGTTGCTTCTGTGTTACAGAAAAAACTAAACATGGAATTTGTGATCAGTTTGGTGTCAGATGGCCTCTGTCAGGGTCATATCTGGGTCTGTGCTGGGCAGTGGCAGAGTGGAAATGTAGAAGAGGGAGAATAAAAGTTGTGACAATTTGACTGGCATGTCACTACCAATTTTTTAATACTTTACTAGTGTTCAGAGGACTACTCAGTTAATTGATCAACAGTTGCCAATAATTGTAATTTTACTAAAAGACGAATCTTTTAAGTCATTTTGCAAGGAAATATATTAAATGTTTGTTTGCAGGGCTTCATCTATCTTCAACTCATAAGTCAATCAAATCTCAACACACATTTTTAGATTCAGTGTGACTTTCTAGGATGCAGTTATCTCTGATTCCCATGAAAAATGTGAGCTAATATACTGTAGATTCAGTGTTATTATTCAGTGTCTGGACACTTCAAGCTTCATATGAGCTCCATTCTCACTGATAAAAGATCTTTTTCAAACAGACAAACTCTGCCTAGCAACAGCCTCCCCTGTCACCTTGAATCCACAGGATGTTGGATAAACACACTGCTGAAAAGATGGGCAGTAATGACACATCTTATATACTGTATATTGAAGATAATCTTACCTTCTTCATTTTCTCTTGTGCTATGTCTGTTCTGTTTCTGACTTCAGTACTGGATCAATGAGTTCACCAGCTCTCTGGGAATCGGAGTGTTTCACTCAGGGATTGAGATCTATGGAAGAGGTAAGATTACCCACAAATATGACGCCACACATATCAGGTCAGTTGCTTTAGAAACGATGCTGCTTTACACTCAAATGAGACACTTTTGGTATGAGAACATTATGTGTTCAAACGTGTGTTTTCATGTTTTGTGTGTGTGTGTTTAGAGTTTGCTTATGGCGGACACCCGTACCCATTCTCAGGGATCTTTGAGATTACACCAGGTGATGCAACTGAACTTGGAGAGACTTTTAAGTTCAAGTAAGTCACACACTTACTTGAACTTGAACTCTGTTTTGGGTTTATGTGCACAGAGTCATAGACACACATGAGTTCTCTGTTTCAGCATTCAGCAGCTGGCTGGCTCAGTTATACAGCCTGTTAGCCACTGCTCAGAAAGCTTCCAATAAGCCAGTGAGTCTGTGTTAGTTGTTGGCAGGTAACTAGCTGGAAGTTTTGACAGTGGCCATTATCATTGTCAGTTAACTGGTCACTTAGTCTGTGTAATTCAACCACTAACTGGATCTGCCAAAAGACAGACAGGCAGCAGGATACTAGGATTAATGAGATAATTTTGGTTAACTGCAGAAATTACATCTCTCACGTGAGTGTGGTGTCGGCCCACTTTTGATTTTTACTGCAGTTGAAATCGTCTGTTGCAGCTGTGAGACAGTAGAGCACCCAGTCCATTCAATACGTGTTTGGATTCCCAGAACCAGCCCAGGGCCTGTTAATCTGTGTGTCTACTCAGAGCTACTGTGCTGCTGTGCAATACCTCTGCTCTAGTTGATCTGCCCTGTGGCTATAGACACACACTGCCTGATGCACAGACACACTTACACAAGCGCACTTAGTCTCCATGCATTATTCCACTGGACCACAATTATAGATCAGCTGGGACAAAAGCAGACATACCATCCATACAGTGTCTCTGCACCAAATTAACCCAGTGCTCTTTTATGCTGAAATTCATCCTAATGGTTTTATACCAGTGAAAAACACAGAATAAAAATATTCTTTCCTTTAAAATTCCAAAAGACCAACCAGGCAAATCCTAAAACGTGTGAATAGAGCTGGTAAATCCATTTTAAAGGATCATTCCATCTTAATTTGAGCTTTTAAATCCATGCTATGCCATCTGTGTCAGTGTGGGGGTCCAGATTGAAATATTTTAACAACTATTGAATGGATTGCCATGAAGTTTGGTACAGACATTAATGGTCCTCGAAGGATGAACCCTAATGGCATGATGATACCCAGACTTTTCACTGAACACCGTCAGCAGGTTAACATTTTTGTTTGTCAAACACTTTGTTATATACCTGCTCAGCATCAGCATATTAGTATTGCTATCACACTCACACAAACTATTTCCACATATTGTTTTATGTTGATGCTAACATGTAGGGCCACTGAAGAACGCTGCCTACAGGTCCAATCCTCTTAAATCACTCATACTAAAGAACAAACCTGTTCTTATTTATTTGTTCTTGCATAAGGCTTGTTCATTGGGCAAAAGAGGTTGAAACAAAATGCCTGGAAGTCACTGTTGATGTTTCATCAGCATGTAGTTACACCTGACTTCACATCCTGTTCCCACTTGCCTCTGTAGAGAAGCCATAGTCCTGGGCAGCACAGACTTCACAGAGGAGGATGTGGAGCGCATTGTGGAGGAGATGGGGAAGGAGTACAAAGGCAATGCCTACCACCTCATGCACAAGAACTGTAATCACTTCTCTTCAGCACTGTCAGAGGTAGGTGAACGGTACACACACACACACACACACATAGATGCTCTGCCTGCAGACTGAGCTTAGGCAACAAGCTCAGTTAAATAAAGTGTGCCCCTCACCACACCTTGATTTTGTCTTTGCTGTTGAGAGCTTGAACCAACTGTGTGCGTGTGCATGTGTGTGTGTGTGTGTGTGTGTGTGCACCTGGTGTTACTCACACCGTGCGGACTGAAACCTGTTTGCACATTCACACTGACCTAGTTCATTGAGTTTTAAGCGGATGACTTGGTTTAAGGTGAGGGTAAGGTTAGGTGTTAGGCAAGTAGAGGTGATGGTTAAGGTTAGGGTAAGTCTCCAGGATGTTAATGTAAGTCAGTGTAAAGTCCCCCATGAGGAATGAATAGAAACGAGTGTGTGTGCACGCTTTCACACAGCTTATCCTGGTGTGACTAATGATGGGAGGCTTATAGTTAGCATCTAGCACTGAGACGGGGATTAGAACACACTGATACAAGCCCAGACATTCAGCGCCAACTGGCACACACACACACACACACACACAGATGAATATACCTCATATAAAAATATTCTCAAGAGAAATACAGTTTAAAATGCAGATATTCACACATGCATGGATACAAACGTGTCACATCAATAAAATACACACAAATTCAAACATGGACGTCATTCTCGCCCTCAGGATTTGATCCTTGTGTTCACTGTGACCTCGTACAGTACGGCAGGTTGACTTCAGAGAGCGAGAGGAGAAAATGAGTGAACATACAGATGGATTTTGCTTCTTTGAAGATGTCTCCTCATGCATCTTAAAAAATCAGCCTGTCGGAGGCTTTGCTAAATGTTTTAATAAAACCACTATTAGATCCTTTGACTAGGAAACACTTGAGTTTCTTGGAAAGCCTGTGTCCTCCTCCAAGCAGACCTACTCCTGTACCAGCAGTTTAATAACACAGGATGCAAATGTCCCATGTTTCAGCAAAATTTGATGCAATTATGTCCAGATCTTTTTATTGACTAATCATTGCAGCTGTAAAGGAAAATAAAAACTTTTGCTCGCTCCTGTGCCTCCCTTTCTCCCGTCCTCAGATCCTGTGTGGGCGGGAGATCCCTCGCTGGGTCAATCGCCTAGCCTACTTCAGCTCCTGCGTGCCATTCCTCCAGAGCTGCCTGCCCAAAGAGTGGCTGACCCCGGCTGCCTTACAGTCCAGCGTCAGCCAGGAGCTCCACGGAGGAGGAGAGCTGCAGGAGGCAGAGGATGCAGCTGCCACAGCTTGCCTGGCCTCCATGTCCCCATGCTCACCCTCATCCTCCTCCTTGCCTCATCATTCCCGCCACCAGCCACGGCGATAGAGACAGAGTTCTGCTGAGACACCTGGGGCCGGACTTGTGGTTATGGAGACTGTCAGGTGACAACTCCTGCAGCGGCTGATGGGTCCAGGTACAGCTGAATGTTCTGTCAGACTGTCCTGGAGCAAGGCACTGCACTGCTGCCTGCTCTGGGTAAGAACGTCAGGCAAATTCTTACAATGATCCAGAGCAGTGGAAGGGTTGTTTTCTCACAAGGCAAAGGAACCCCTGCTGCTGACAAAGAAAGGGTCTTCTCTCAGTGAACATGGCTGATGGATTACAGCATCCTGTCCTAAATCCAAAACTGTTTCCCCTCAAGTCTTTTGTATTATTTTATCAGCCAAGTGTCATTGCAGAATTGAAGTGAAACCGGTTGTTTGTCCACCAATGTGTTTCATAATTTAAGAAAATTTACCAGCCAGATCCAGATTTTTCCAGCTATTTGTCTTGGTGTAGTGGAAACCAGAGAGAGCTTATGGTGAAAAAGATGCGCTGGCGGGGGTCAGTGTAATCATAAGCCCATGGCAAAGGAGTGACTTTAACTGATTTGGCAAATTTGATGTAAGATTGTTCTTTATTCTGTAGCCAGGTTTTTTGCACTACAAACCATAGAAATCAGGGTAATTGTTGACAAGACTGACTGATGTTTCTGCTTTCTTAAAATTTCTCTTACCATTAAACTTGAGCCCTAAAGGTTTGACATTGTTGCTGTAATTCTTAGTAGTTTGTAGCTGAATAATCCCAACATTTATCAACCAGGTGGAGCTGATTTGGGATGATTGAGAAGACACCAGAGACAGTTAGGTAAAAAATGCAAGCCTTTATTTAATATCTTCTTCATGAAACAATAATTCTCACAAACATCATCAAGACACGCATGAGAAGCAATAATCTTTTTGGGGGATAACGGTGAATGTTTTTGTCGCTTCTGGAAGACATTCATGGTGCTGCACTCAGTCCCTGTGGGACCTCCACACAGCTGGATGGTCACAGCTGAATATATCTGGTTACAGAAATTGTCTGGTTTATTCTCACAACTCAAGTTCAAACTATTACTCAAAAATGTAACTCCTGCACATTGACGCCATGCTATAAAATTTGTTCAAAAAGACACTGATTCCAGCCGTGGTTCTTCAACTCAAAATACTTAGATATATATATATATATAAAACGTATTTAAAAATATTCTGCCCAGGGTGATAAACATTTAAAAGCCAACCAGAAAATGTTTACAACGTTGAATC